TTTGCCAATGGTGATTATTGAATCAAAAGCACTTTAGTGCTTACACGAATAATGACCAAATTCATTCCATGAGAATTGTTAAGATGATGGAGAATTTTTTTATTACTATTTATTTATTTATTTATTTATTTATTTATTTATTTATTTATTTATTTATTTATTTTATTAAAATTCTTGTGAGTGAGTGAGTGAGTTTAGTTTTACGCCACACTCGGCATTATTCCAGCTATATGGCGGCGGTCTAAATAATCGAGTCTGGGCCAGACAATCCAGTGATCAACAGCCTCTCCCAAACATATGTGAAACTGAAGACCAATACATTATCCTAGTGAAGCAAAGTGGTCCGGATTACTGGGGTTTATATTCTGCAACCAAATTTTATACCGAGTACTCATGGGTCGCTGAAACATATGACTTATGAAGAAGTATGTATATGTATACATGCAACAACATATCGCATCTCAGCTTCCAGTCAACCCATCTGGTAAAAGACAGTATGGCTAATGTTTCGTTTCGTTTTTGTTTTTGTTAACTCAGAAATAAAACGGAAAATAAATCAGTGTGAAAACACCCGTGCCTCACTATACAATATAATGTACAATACACATTACAGCGGGAGACCGTTGGTACGACCGTACCACCGCCATATATCATGGCCCACCTGGGCATCCATACTACATCGCCTTGCAATACCAATGTAATTGAGGAAAATGTGTCAACGTCGTAATACCAAATAAAGGACGGCCCATCTGGGCCGCCATGCTACACTAACGTACACTATCCATCTGAACAGTCTGGCAACATCGTAACACCAATTACAGAATAGCACCACTTGGCCTCCATGCTACACTAACGTAGACTATCCATCTGAACAGTCTGGCAACATCGTAACACCAATTACAGATTAGCACCACTGGGCCTCCATACTACACTGTGGTAGTGGTACAATTAATATCCATCTGAACAGTTTCGCAACATCGTAACACCAATTACAGAATAGCACCACTGGGCCTCCATATTACACTAACGTACACTATCCATCTGGACAACCTGGCAACATCGTAACACCAATTACAGATTAGTACCACTGGGCCTCCATACTACACTGTTGTACAATTAATATCCATCTGAACAACCTGGCAACATCGTAACACCAATTACAGAATAGCACCACTGGGCCTCCATACTACACTGTTGTACAATTAATATCCATCTGAACAGTCTGGCAACATCGTAACACCAATTACAGAATAGCACCACTGGGCCTCCATATTACACTAACATACACTATCCATCTGGACAACCTGGCAACATCGTAACACCAATTACAGAATAGCACCACTGGGCCTCCATACTACACTGTTGTACAATTAATATCCATCTGAACAACCTGGCAACATCGTAACACCAATTACAGATTAGCACCACTGGGCCTCCATACAACATTGCTGTACAATTAATATCCATCTGAACAGTCTGGCAACATCGTAACACCAATTACAGAATAGCACCACTGGGCCTCCATACTACATGTTGTAGTCTGGCAATTAATATCCATCTGAACAGTCTGGCAACATCGTAACACCACCACTTACAGATTAGCACCACTGGGCCTCCATACTACACTGTTGTACAATTAATATCCATCTGAACAGTCTGGCAACATCGTAACACCAATTACAGAATAGCACCACTGGGCCTCCATACTACACTGTTGTACAATTAATATCCATCTGAACAGTCTGGCAACATCGTAACACCAATTACAAAATAGCACCACTGGGCCTCCATACTACACTGTTGTACAATTTATATCCCTCTGAACAACCTGGCAACATCGTAACACCACTTACAGATTAGCACAACTTGGCCTACATACTACACTGTTGTACAATTAATATCCATCTGAACAGTCTGGCAACATCGTAACACCAATTACAGATTAGCACAACTGGGCCTCCATACAACACTGTTGTACAATTAATATCCATCTGAACAGTCTGGCAACATCGTAACACCAATTACAGATTAGCACCACTGGGCCTCCATACTACACTGTTGTACAATTAATATCCATCTGAACAACCTGGCAACATCGTAACACCAATTACAGATTAGCACCACTGGGCCTCCATACAACACTGCTGTACAATTAATATCCATCTGAACAGTCTGGCCACATCGTAACACCAATTACAGATTAGCACCACTGGGCCTCCATACTACACTGTTGTACAATTAATATCCATCTGAACAACCTGGCAACATCGTAACACCAATTACAGATTAGCACCACTGGGCCTCCATACAACACTGTTGTACAATTAATATCCATCTGAACAGTCTGGCAACATCGTAACACCACTTACAGATTAGCACCACTGGGCCTCCATACAACACTGTTGTACAATTAATATCCATCTGAACAACCTGGCAACATCGTAACACCACTTACAGATTAGCACCACTGGGCCTCCATACTACACTGTTGTACAATTAATATCCATCTGAACAGTCTGGCAACATCGTAACACCAATTACAGATTAGCACAACTGGGCCTCCATACAACACTGTTGTACAATTAATATCCATCTGAACAGCCTGGCAACATCGTAACACCACTTACAGATTAGTACCACTGGGCCTCCCTACTACACTGTTGTACAATTAATATCCTTCTGAACAGCGTGGCAACATCGTAACACCAATTACAGATTAGTACCACTGGGCATCCATACTACACTGTTGTACAATTAATATCCATCTGAACAGCCTGGCAACATCGTAACACCAATTACAGAATAGCACCACTGGGCCTCCATACTACACTGTTGTACAAAATCCACCTGAACAGTCTGGCAACATCTTATGTCACAGAACGGCATGACTGGGGCTCCATACTGGACTTCTGTACACTATCCATCTCGTCAGTCTGGCAACATCTCGTCCAATAAAACTAAGTACGCGAAACCACGAAGTGTAAATACTTTATTTGCCAATGGTGATCATAGAATCAATAACACTTTAGTGCTTACATGATTAATGACCAAATTCAGTCCACGTGAATCGTTAAGATGATGGAGATGTTTTATTATTACTGACAAATGTCTTGCGATAATAGTTGGTTAAATGCCGTTTGGCATGATCATGGACTTACGATGACTTGTATTCTCTGATCGAATTAACAAACATCTGTGACAACAAACACGCGACAGACACGGTGAGTAGGTATACATGTATATAGTTTTACGGCGCAGTTAGCACTAACCCTGCTTTATCTCGACGGGGGTACACCAGAAATGGGCTTCACACATTGTATCTAGAGGGGAGTCGAGCCCGTGTATCTTGGTATTCTCACCGCCCCAAGGGATAACATACCTGTTCGACTGATGCAATTGTCACACAAATGAGTGAGTGAAAGCGGCGTAAAACAATACTCGGTCGTGTGATTAATCAGAGCTCGGTATCAATCTTTAGTGAGCACTCTTCACTATCAGCTATATTACTTGAAAAATATATATTTAGCTTAAACCATAATTTAATTTGAAAGCATCATCGTGCACTACTGGTCGCCAGTACCATAAACACCGACTTCATTCAAGGTTATGTTTGGTTGGGCAATGTTATTGAACAGAACCATTGATGAGTGAGTTTGGTTTAACACCGCTTATAGCAATATTCTAGCAATATCATGGCGGGGACACCAGAAATTGGCTTCACACATTGTACCCGTGTGAGGAAGCGAACCCGGGCCTTCGGCGTGACGAGCGAACGCTTTAACCACTAGTCTACCCCATGGTCCCCAGAACCATTGATGAGGATACACAAGTTAACACGGCGTCATGGTGGGATTCGATTAATGATTTACTATGCACCGACCCATAAATTCACAAATGTTCTTGCAAACACATATTTAAGGACATTCTTTGAAATAGCTATATCTCCGTAGCTTCTGTTAATATTGAACATCAACGCGAGAGAAATCCAGTCTCGATAATGATGAATATGAGCTGGTGTGAAGTCTTCCCCCTTCAGACAGTAATCCATACCTTCTGACATCTGTTAAAAACATTTCGTGTGGAATTCTGCCACCTTTCATATTGTTATAAATAAATTTTCATTGTGTTCATTATAATTCCTGCATTATGATTAGCTGAACTAGTCACGTGTTATCGCATTCATTTCTCAATGAACATAAAATTTAGCCAAGATATTTCAGACAGACGTCTTCATTCCATCCGTTCTTCTTCAACCTTAAAGTTTGTTAAATGATTTTTAAAAACACAGTAGCACTGTTAATGCTAAAATATAGTTCTGAGATATTTAGGAAATATATAATATGATTCATCAAATGCCCTAAATAAGTAAATAGGACCGCCTCCGTTGTGTAGTGGTTAGACGGTCCGCGGGAAGGTCGCGGGTTCGATCCCCGACCGCGTCATACCAAAAGACGTTAAAATATGGTACTTGTTGGACCCTGCCTGGCGCTCGGCATTAATGGGTACAACAAGGACTGGTCGACTCGGAATCAGTATAATGTGTCTGAGTGGGGTATTCATGCTTCACTGGGGCATGGTATCTCAGTGGGCTAGCACTATAAAACCAGCTTAAGTCTGGGCTAGTACAAGCAGCCGCACATACACATACACACGCATGCACGTCGTAATATGAGCGAAATATTCTCAAGCACGACGTTAAACCCAATTTCACCTCACCTCACCTAAAGTAAATAGTTGCTAAGATTTGAGCATTAATTGCTTGTACATGCACAGTTTCAATGTGAAGGGATTGAAATATAAGTAACTATTTTGATGAACATGCAAATTGTCGTGGTAAATTTTCAAATTTTTTATGTTAACAATGATCTTGGTCAATAGAAATATGTCTGCAAATAGTTAGAACACAGCCAACAGTTTAGCACTGATAGTTCTGTAAACACCAATGGCGGTCGCTCTACCACTAAACCTTTGCACGTGAGCCGGAAGTAAGACGAGTTCACATGACTGGGTTTGTTTGTCAGCCGCGAGCAGCCATATCAACCTTCTTCTAACATGAATATGACAGTCTTTAACTTGTGTAACCACACAGGCTCTTGTTTCACATAGTCACCATTAGTAATCACAGATCATCGCGGGTTTGGATATGGCGCGGAAAAGAGGGCATCAGGTATATTTTACGCAGAAGTTGACGCTGTGCTCGCGACAAACTCGACAAAATGGCGTCCTTCATTCATTCTTATTCCAACGAGCGATGTAAAATGAAAGTGTGGTCGATTTCTGCTTGGAAAAATGACACTGTTTCCTTTTGTTTGTAAAAACGTAACATGTATACACGTGAACCAATAGACATAAACTCAAAGATATGCCAAGAACATGTACAACGACATACATACCCCACCCAACCCCCCACGAACTCAAATCTAAAGATCTCGTTCAAAAGGTGTTCGGTAACATCATTTTCTCTGAAAGACAGTGATTCTGAAGGTGAAGTCTCCGAAAAGAAACTGGCAAGAACAAAAATGTGTTGGGGGAAAGATTTCCGCCCGTAACCCCCGGTTATTTTTTTCATTCCATGCCTAAGATTCATAGTACGAATAGATGGGTTTTTTTAAAGAAAGCGTACCCTAACCCTAACCCTAAACCTGACACAATGCTAAATCTAAACCCTAAACCTAAACCCTAACCCCTTGAAATAAACATAATAAATACAATACATTTCAAGCGGGGGTTACGGGTGGAACTCTTACCAGTGATTATTTTCCCTACACTCATAGAAACTCAAACACAGGTCTCATTTGGCCTTTGTTGCATGAATTTCAGAAGAATGTAACAGTGTTTTAATTTGAATGCCAATACGGAAAACTGCATAAATACTAGAAATATGATCTGTGAATCATCTGTGATAAGTTGATGTATTCTGTGATGATATTCCAGGAGACTGGTGGTAAACATCCCCTGAAGCCACCAGACAGAGGCAGGAAACGGCAGAGACAAGATGAACACAGCGGGTAAGTTCAGGGAAAAGATGTGATTGCTACCATTGGATACACATTTTGTTCCTGTTAAAGCATTTGCTCATCACGCCGAAGGTCTGGGTTCGATTCCCCCACATGGGTATAATATGTGACATGATGTCTGAATTATGGGCATTGTTGTATAAAGTATGGGATGCTGAGTGACTCCTATCTTTCTTACTGTGGATCGCTTCTTTGCATGAAGTGAGGGTGTATGGAGGGGGGGGCTAATGCATAGCCACTACATGCTTTTTCATAGTTTGTAGTGATAGCAGAGCTATCATTATGTGGCTCATCTACTTGTTGTTTGAATCACTCATCATGCTTACATTCATAAATGCTATTTGTGCCAGTTCCCACATTGCTATCACTTGTAGAAATTAATTAAGAAATACTTAAGTGTCTTATAACCAGCATTCTTTGGATATTGACCGCCTCCGTGGTGTACTGGTTAGAGAGTCCGCCCAGAGAGCGGAGGGTCGCTGGTTCAATCCTGACCGCTTCATACCAAAAGACGTTAAAATATTGTACTTGTTGGTCCCTGCCTGGCTCTCGGAATTAATGGGTACAACAAGGACTGGTCGGCTCAGAGTCAGTATAATGTGTCTGAGTGGGGTATTCATGCTTTACTGCGGCATGGTATCTCAGTGGGCTAGCACTATAAAACCAGCTTCAGTCTGGGCTAGCACAAGCAGCCGCACATACACCTACACACATCAGCGAAATATTCTCAAGCACGACGTTAAACCCAATTTCACCTCACCTCACCTTCTTTGGATTTTTTTGCACGTCTTATGAGAACTTTACTGTAGTACAGTTGTGCCCCGTTTATCTGAACACTTGTGTTTTTCTTGAAATTGTCCGGATAAACAAATTTCCGGATATCTGAACCACGGGGAATATGTAAATAGAAAAATACAAAGAAACGAACATAATAGACTTCAGACGTAATCTTTATTAATAAGGCATCAACAAATAACAATGCAAACATAAAATCACATCTTGTCAAATAAAGTAGTCAAGTCAATAACATGTGCGAACATACCTGTACATGCATCTGTCTGTCAAATGGTAGCAACCAATCACGAAACAGTTCTGATGTCTTCCTCGCGTTCGCATTGTTGCTGTACCTAACAAACTTCCGGTTTAAAGTCACTACCAAAACAACGGGGACGTCTTGCCTTGCCAATCACAACTCAAAATTAACTCAGCGTCACCATGCTAATTACAGGTAGTTAATCCTCTCACACTTTAAAGACTGCCGACTTCCTTTATGTTAGGGCACGCAAACTCTGTAAAATGTGTGTGTAAACATACTGACAGGTGCTGAGCCATCGGATATACGAGAATAAAATGTATATGATTTAGCGTTTTGTATGTGAAAATGACCGTCCGGTTACGGAAACTGGATTTCCGGATAAGTGAGTAATTTTACAACATTGTGAATTCGTATTGAGTAATTTTCGTTCGGAAGGCGAGTTTTCCGGATATCTGAGGTTCGGATAAACGGGGCACGACTGTACCACTATTGGCATAAATACTGCTTTGCTTTGAAACTCATCTCAGTAGAAAACTGTTCACTGCATTCTGGAAGAGCAATGGAGGTGTCAGGCAATGTTTTTGAGCTTGCTTCATAACATGTAATATGAATGCCAATCATTAGGATATGTGCACATTTATGACCCAACACTACCACTGTTACAGGTCATTGGCTCCCTCCCTCTGCAAGCCATCTGCGTTCTGCTGTTTATTTTGTTGACAGTTACATAGACAGATTCTTTAATACAAATGCATAAAATCGGTGATTTACAATGTGATTAGGTTGTCTGACAAAACATCCACTTGCACAGTTTGAGATCGTTTGGGTCATTGGATGAAGAGATATTTACCAAAAAAACGGGTCCAAATGCATTTCATGCCAAATTATAGTTGCGGGTAAAGCAACGTGCAGTGATCTTGGTCAAAGTACTGTGACTATGTGTCCCAGTCCACCCAGCTGTGAATGGGTACCTCGTTAGGATGAGAAAACCACAATAACTCGGTGCGCCTAATGGCTGCAAGAGTTGTATACTCCCCAGGGAGTTGAGATTGATAACACGGTGTGCCGTTCAGATTGACATCCAATGATCGAGGGGAAAAAAACCCAGCGCCTTGAGCACGCGCTAGTTGCATGTATATATGCGCTATATAAATATACTATAATAGTAATAATAAAAGCTGAGAAATGAAAACAAATAACATTTGTCATACAGAATAAAAGTGATTAAGTGTCATCTTTACATTGATTCCCCAACTGTGTGTTTTGATGACCCAGATATTTTACACTGATTACAGGAAGAGCACAAGTTCAGAAAAGCTGGAGACAAGCATTGGTTCAAGAACACGATCTACCCAGAACAATGACAAAACAGCCTCTGACTGCAACCCCAGAACCCGATCTTCCATCCATGAGAAAACAAAGTCCGTTTCTAGCCCTGAAGCTCCATCATCCCATTCGACCTACCAGAATGTGCAAAAGTCAGACACAATATCAGGCTTAGCTACTTATTCTGGTATCCAGAAAGAATTATTGCCCAATTCTAAGAAGTCTCCAAGTGATGCAGTGACTGGAAGTAATCAAAGGACTATTTCTGGGATCCAGAAAGAATTGTCGACCAAATCTAAGGAGTCTCCTGCTGATACAGAGACAGAAGCAAATCAAAGAGCACACTTTGAAAACAATAATGAAGATGAGAAATGCCAGGAGTCAAATAATGCACAACTAACTCCTCAAAAGAAATGTAGAAGGAAATCAGTACAGATGTTGGATGAACAAAAACCAGGTTCTGTGTGTAGACAAAGTGAAGTAGTTGAACATGAAGATAAGAACATAAAACAACAGAAATCAAACATATCTGGTGAATCCGACAGTCAGTCTGGTGATACTGCTGATAAATACTCTCCGACCTTGACCCCTGACCAAGGTCGGAGGTTTTCAGGTCGTGTAAGGAAACTTACCAAAAAGGCTGCAGAGGCCAAAGAAACATTCAAGTCAAAATTCCGCAGCAAACCTGCAAGTCCCAGAACACAACACTCAAAGCTTGAGACACAGCCAGAAAATGCAATAGAATTGTCAACCACTCCTGTCAAACACGTCCATTCAGAAGCAGCCAATAACTGTGGAGACACAGGTTTAAGTGAGGACAAAGATGAGGATGAGAGTGGTAGAGAAGCTGATACAGAATCGGGATCAAGAAGCAATGAGACCAGCACAAATGTCCAACTTTCAGCAGTCCAAACTGATTCAGGCTTGTCACCATCTGGTGAAGTCGGGGAGACAGTTCTCAGCAGTACTGCTGAACCTGTGCCTGGAAATGGTGAATATTGTCCAAGTCATCATTCAGGTACTTATCCATCACATGAAACTGACAATACGATTTCTGTTGTCCTCGGATCAGCTAATGTTCTTTCAAGCAATCATTCCACTGGCCATTGTTCCAATGATCTGAACACTGATAAAGAAATACCAGAGATTGGAAGCAGTTGTCATGGAGACTCTGGTGGTCATGGTGATCATCTCTATAATGCCAGATTACTCAAAACCTTCCAGCACTCAGTCCAGTCCACGTCCAGACCTCTTGATCATAGCAGTGTTTCTATGGTAGCAGACAGGGGTGTTCAAGCATCTTTGGTAAAAGACTCTTGTCATCTGGTCAGTACAGGCATTCAGGTGGACAGTAGTTTCTTGTCGCCATGCCAACAGGCTATATTAGGCAGTGACACGCCTGATGATGAAGACCCAACAGCTAACACACAGCAGTCGTCTCCCTTCTCGACAGGTCTTCCTAATGTGAATTTTGCTTCCTTGCTTGCCTTACCAGAAGCAGGAGAAAAGGTTTGGTTACAACGTATTTTCTTTAGAGTAAAGTAGACTGGTAGATAAGGTACAAACAGTACAACTTGAAGTTGTTATATATTGCTTTGTGAACTATTTTGGGTGGATTGAAATTTCCATATTTTTACAAATTTTGTATATTCATATATTTTTTCAAACCTTAATATGATTACTTTATTAACCTTTTTAACATGTTGCAGTATTTGGGCAAAATCCTACTGCTGTCATCAGTGTGAGAAATGGGGTCTCCTCATAGTGCAGGCACCTTTATATTCATGTGACATAAAGTTAAAACTTTTAAAACAGTGAGGATAAACCTGCAAAATAGCCACTGGCCCGCTAGCCCATGGCTAGTAAAAATCCAGTCAGGCCAGTAAATCTCTACAGTCATTGGCCCGACTGGCTAGTGAATTTTCATGGGGACCTTTATTATTTACGTGTAGTAAATATATCACACTCTCCGACTTGTTAAGTTATAATACACTTTTAAATCATGCAAGATTATGGCCTGATCAGGGGTGGAAATAACCCATTGCCCGACGTCCGAGTCCAGTGTTTTTTCTGTCGGGCAAGCAAATTTGTATATGACACTGTACCGGTATCCAGTTGACTTTCCAATGTTAATTATGTTGTTTATTTAAAAATCAGCAAGAAAACGGTCGGTATAGTGGAAAATTTAGCAGGGCAAGTGACTTTACATGTGCCACTGTACCGGAGTACACAATCAATTTTAAAGTTATTTCTACCCCAGCTGATAAAAATGTTAATCATATCAGCAGCTTAATGATGAAATCCGTGTCTACATTCAAATTTCGGACTAGTTAAGTAGTTTGTGGGCTAGTAACTTTCAGGCATAGCTTGCCCTACTGGTTTGCAAAATTTGGAATTTATTTTGCACACTGGCTGTGATTACTGAACCTTTTGCTTATGCGTTTTCAATAGGGGTGAAACGGTATACCGTGGTTCTATACTAATACCGTGGGATTTTGCCTTTGGTTCTTTACAGTAATGCAATCCCAAAATCTGTGTTTTCGTACTGTCATTTTATTAACCTTTTTAAACCTTTTCTAAAATGTCCAGAAATCAAATCATTTTGTCCAAATCTATGTGTTTCTTGTCTTTTCTGTATTATGATCATATCTCATATACCGAAACGGACCGAACCGGAGGCCTTGTACCGCAATACGGACCGAACCATGGCAAGAGTATACCGTTTCACCCCTAGTTTTCAATACAGTGTGCTGAATATAATATTACCAAAAATTGTGAATGAACTGAGTATGAGTATCTTTTGTGATCCTATCACCAAAATCATGGAGGGACTCCCAAGAATGGGCTTCTCACACTTTAAGAATTTGGGGATTTGAACCGAGATCATCAGTGAAACAAGCATGCACTTTAGCCATCAGGCCACACGTCAACCCACCAGATGGATTTTATACTGGACAAAAATAGTTAGGGATATATGTACATTTTCAAATTATGAATAAAGGTCTTTTTATTCATTGACATACTGATAAAATATTAATTATAAAGATACCAATATCCCTAACTTATTTTGTCCAGTATATATCCGCATTTGAAAACTAGGTCTTCCAATCTGTATATGAAGAAATTTTAAAAATATTCTTTTATCACAACATGCACAACTTATACACTGAAAGTTGAAACTTATATAGCAGGTTAGTCATATTCCATTGGACCATCTCAAATAGCACATTGATGGATATTGATACTTTTCATTAAGTGTTGGTATGTCATGTATGACAAAACCTAGCCATAAGATGTGTTTGTCGATGGTTGGTTGGTTGCTGTTTAAGGCCACACTCAGCAAAATTCCAGCTATATGGTGGCGGTCTGTAAATATTCGATTTTGGACCAGACAATCCAGTGATCAACAGCATGAGCTTCGATCTACGCAAATTGGATATAATGACGTGTCAACCGTCTTACGACAGGCCTAGGTTGAGATGTAAAGATGATAATTTGGTGTGTGTGTGTGTGTGTGTGTGTGTCTGTCTCTCTGTGTGTGTGTGTCTCTGTGTGTGTCTCTCACCCATTTTGTTCAGGTGAGGTAGGGGCCGTCAGCAGTTTTGTACATATGAATATTTCAAATTTATGCCTGAAAGTTCAAAAGTATCGGGTGGGAGGGGTGTGGCCATTGATTTTGTACATGACAAGCACGGGGTGGGGGTTCAATTACTTTGTACATAAATCTTATGGGGGAGTCATTCACATTGTACATGCTTCTCCATAAAAATCATCATCACCCCTCCTAGCCATAAATTATGAACGGTCCCTAACAGCACTAATGTTTTTTCATGATACGCCCAGAACAAGATATTTCTTATCTGTCATACAGGTTTTAGGGCGGAGTCTCTGCCCTCGTCAAGGACAGCTTGCTGCAGATACAGGGCATGCGACACTTCATCACCCACGACCTTCCCACCATGACCAGCGTGGCCTGCTTCCAGACTGCTGACAAGATTGCCATAAGCGGAACCATCCAGGGCGTGTGTCGAGCCTGGTCCATCCTCAGTAATGTTAGTGATCCCTGTGTTCTTTATTCAGAGTAGCCCTACATACAGTGAGTGAGTGAGTTCAGTTTTACGCCGCAGTCAGCAATATTCCAGCTATATGGCGGCAGTCTGTAAATAATCGAATCTGGACCAGACAATCCAGTGATCAACAGCATGAGCATCGATCTGCGCCATTGGGAACCGATGACATGTGTCAACCAAGCCAGCGAGCCCCTACATACAGAGATGTTAACACTAATGGAAGCTTTGTGTTAATGACTTGGTCATGTTTAGTATTGTGTCAGGGGTGGAAATAACTTTAAAATTGCTAGTGTACTCCGGTACAGTGGCACATGTAAAATCACTTGTCCTGATAATTTTTCCACTATACCGGCTGTTTTCTTGTTGATGTTTTAAATAAACAACATAATTAACAATGGAAAGTCAACTGGACACCGGTACAATGTGATATACAAATTTGCTAGCCCGACAGAAAAAAACACTGGACTGGGGTGTCGGGCAATGGGTTATTTCCACCCCTGTGTGAGATTATGATTAAGATCATTATCAGAATCTTTTGAAGATGATGTGTCTTAATTGCACCATTCTGTATTTCAGATAGAACACCATATTCAGCAGAGGGATATAAAAAGTAAAAAAGCTGTCCGTGAGTAGTTTCTGGATATCTGTTTGGGTTTTACAATCAGCTTTGAAAATCGGGACATTAAGACTAACATTTCCTTGAGGTGCTAAAGGGTAGGAACAAATGCTTGAATATTATTTTGTAAGTCTGTAACGATTCACTCGCATATTCGGTGAATCGAACCGTAGCCCTTCATGAATTCAATTCGTTATTCGTGGTCACCAGAACCGAATATTCATGAATATTTACAATTTTTTTAAGGGAGTGTGTTTTACTTGAACCCTTATGTCCTTTTTCAAAATGAGATATGCAAGAATGCATTATGTAATAGCCTTGTAGTAGCCCAAGTCATGTTAGTTTGCCAAGGCTGCACATGTTACTGTCAGCAATAACTATTACATACCAAATTTGAGTGTCATGAGATCACTGGTTATTGCTGTGACAAATTAACACTGTCAACATGGGCATTCAATATTGTGCATCAATCACTTAACTACAATATTGTATTCATGAATAAATATTCATATTCGCTACCTAATATTTGTGATACGTATCATATTCGCAACATAGTGTATTCGTTACAGCCCTATTATTTTGTGGTAATGGAACTGACACCTGGAGTCACAAGGGCAGACTTTGTACACATTAACTGTACAGCTGGTGCAAGCAGAAACACTCACATGAGAATTGCGTCACCATATAGCTGGAATATTGCTGAGTGCAGCGTTTCACAACCACCCAACCAACCCTAACCACATGAAGTTCACTTCTTGTATCTGTGCAGTGGAATCTGTGCCTTTACCACTAGGCTAACCCACCACCCCTTGTTGTGTTGGAACAAACTGACTGGAATGATGAAAGGATATTTGTGATTGTTGATCATGCAGTCACTCACTCACTTTTCCTGTCCCAGATGATCCAGAGTCACAGAGACCCAGATAAGCTGCGTATTTGGGTAAAATATGCATAGAAAATTTCCAATTACACATTGAAAAATAATTGTTGCGTACCAATTACGTATTTAAGACGTTAGATATGCAAAAAGTTTAAAACATATGCGTACGGAATACTTTATAAAAATCACTTGCGTAATGAAAAAGACATCCATTGGTATCAAGTTGTAATGTTAGTATAGGACTAGTGTTGTACTGTCAGTATAGGATGAGTATTTTTTTATTAAATCATTTCCATTATATTTAAGTTGGTTTTGATTAGGTATGACATAAGGCAGAACATACCTGCTTAGTAAACTTATTTAATGACATAATAGGTGAGTAAAATCACTGCAATACCCACATATTTGAAAGCAGTGGGTAACGGAAAATGAAATACCCACTCAACATTTATAATACCCACTCCCCAAAAAATACAGTGGGTACAGTACCCACATGACCTAAATCTTATCTGGAGCTCTGGAGTCAGGCAGTCATTTTTGCTGAAACAACATTCACTCACTTCTCTTTGAGAAAAAGAAATATCTCCAAGTCAGTGTGTAAACATTGAGATGAAAATATTTTGTAGTACAGTTCATGCCTAAAGATAACAGATTATTCACATTAAAGTTTGTGTACACAACAAAATTTGTACTTATTGATTTCTCTCCTGCAGAAATTCAGTGGATAACAAAGGCTGGAGTAAAGAAAGTTATTGAGTTCAAGCGTCCAGTAGGTGACGATTCTGTCTCCCCTACCAAGTCTTCCAAACCTCTGACAGTCATGGTTGACATCAAGACACCCGAAAAACAAACAGAATCCACAAACATGCCAATCTCTCCTCTCAGCAAATCACCCCAGACACATTCCACTTCCGATCAAAACAATTCCAATGCTAAAAACAACATTCCAGATCTCTGTTCCAAAAAACAAGTTAGCTTGTTGTCTGGAAAGTCGTATTCTTACCCTCTCATGGATGGATTTCCTCTGGGTAATGTTGAAGAGAAGCAGACGTCAGAGGCAGATGTTGTGCCTGACGAAACGGAGATGGAGAAGCAGACGTCATGTTCAACAGATCTTGCAGACGACAAGGCAGCGAAAGCAGAAGGCACAATGAAAACGGATGCTTTGGAGGACAATGAAACGCTAAACAATACAGATATAAAGAATTTGATTAAGAAGAAAATTAAGGCAAGTCTGGAAAGAAATGAAGAAGAAACTCAGACTGATTTGCAGGATGACTTATCCGATTATGATTATGATGATGTTCATGATGAGGACAGAGATAGCAGTGGGGTAGATACAGAGAAAGTGATCAAGGTTGAGAAGACTCCTGACGATCATGTTCAGAAAGGCGACACTGTAATCTGGAAGGGAGGGACAGAAACAACTACATGATAATGGTTACCAAACGTGGGGAATTTGTTTGTGAATACTGTCCTGAGACCTTCCCCACAGAAGATGATCTTGCTTCCCACAGAGTTCACGAACATGACATTGATGAAGCTACAGAAGAGAGTAGATCATTTGTGGAATGCAAAACATGTTCACAACGTTTCCGATGTCATTTGGAACTTCATCGGCATCAACGTCGGGCTCACAGTCTCATCAGTCTGTTGCCCAAGACAGAGCCTTCTGTAAACCACTCCTGCAACGTCTGTGGTAAGAAGTTCTCTGAAAAAACGATATTTGACAACACATCTGAAACGTCACACCGGTATCAAGAAACACAAATGTGATATTTGTGGATGGAGGTTCTTTGAGGCCCACAAGCTGAAGTTTCACCTGGAGACCCACAAAAGACAAGAGGACCGTCAGCTGCCATATCGCTGCGTTATATGTCTGCGTCAGTATCACAATCGTCAGTCTTGGAATGATCACATGAACACCCATACTGGAGCCAAACCGTACAAGTGTAATGTGTGCCCGTCAACATTTGCCCATCGCATTGGTCTCCACAGACACAAACTCACCCATGAGAAAGAGTGTCCATTCAAGTGCCCCTATTGTAGTCGTGGTTTCAAGGTCAAGGCCAACCTTAACGCTCACATAACAATGCATACTGGCATCAGCAAACACACATGCAATGCTTGTGGGAAGGTGTTTACAGTCGCCACCTCACTCCGTCGTCATAAGTGTCAGCCGATTGGCTCGAAACAGGAATCGTCTGAGAAGGAAACAGAAGAGCCGTACACCTACATGTGTGGCGTTTGTAATATGACCTTCCAGACCCTCGAACTGGCAGAGACTCATTCCCTGACTCATGTAGATGGCGCCACCGGGGATATGAGTCTGGTGGGTGTCCAGGTGGAAGAGGTGACTGACAATTCAGATTTCGCTACATCTGGTTCTGTGGATGCGTCAACAACTTACATTGTACATAACAATGGCCAGTCTGTTACTGCCAGTGATATTTCAGCTATTATATCGTCGGTCGAAGAATATCAGTCAAGAAGGTGATGCTTTGGTTGATGAGGCCGAGAAGATTCACATTGCGGCAAGCACTTTGGCAGATTTGTCAACACTGTCAAAAGACACTGACGCTTTAGGAAGAGGTTCTGTGGATTCCTTATCCCAGGAATTGGTAGATGTCACACTACACAAAACACACACAGCATCCTCAGAAGCAGCTAACATGGAGGACACAACAAGTGTAACCATGGTAACAGGACAAGATGTAGATGCTATGGCAGTGACTACAAAGACTGGGACCCAAGAATCCACAAGACTGCTGCTACATAATGCAGTAGGCAAGACAGTTGGGTCACAGAATACAAGCAGGGGTACATCAGAAGCAGACGCACAGGGTAACTTGATGGAAACCTAGGGAAAAGAAACTATCAATACTGGGACATAGATGTTTACCGCTCCAGATGCAGAGAGCTCCAAACCTTCATCGGGTACTGAAATGGCTCTGTGTCTAAAAGCAAAGATGAAATACAGTTATGTGTCATCGGGTGGAGGTTAAATGGTTCCATGTCTTGACAAAGGTCAAGGTCTTGAGGCGGTTCTGAAATATTTCTGAGTCAGGTGCTCAAGCTTCAATATGTTTTATGGCCAAACTACACTTTGACCAAATTTCAGTGAAATGAATGAAAGTAAAGCTGATGGTACAGCTGGATACTGATAGACCCCAGCAGACGTCAGATTGTTAAACTTAGTGCTCGTGGTGCTGGAGCCTAACTAAAACTATACACAAAACTGTTTATGAATGACAAACCAGCACCCGAAGTCAGACATGCCAGATACGTCAACAATGTCTGAATGTACAGGTTGTCGACAACAAACAGCGTAAGTCAGTTAGTCAGTTCCTGGTGATATGGAAGTCATGATGTAAGATTAGAATGAGTCATTTTATTAGTTCCTGTCGCACATAAGCAATGCAGGTCGGACTGCAAGTCAGGGCTGTGCAAGGTATGAAATGTTGTTCCCCTTTAATATTTTGACTTGGGAGTGTCAACATTTACCAGGACAAAGAGGGGGTTCATTGTGAGATGCAATTGTTGTTGACACATTGATGATGTGCAGTGATTCCTGTTTCTTGGTGTGGTAGGTGAAATATATCTGATGAAGTATGCATTGTACAGTTTTTGAATGGTGCACTGTGAAGTGTTAAGTATTATTGCATCAAAAAACATTTTATGTCAAAACAGTCAAATATTACTTGAATGAATTCTATGCAGAATCAAATCATCATTATTGTCTTTATGGCAGCATTGTAATCATGGTAATCGGTACAGGTGAGCTGTGTACCAGAAGAGATGGGATGATGCACAATGCTTATGCACATTACAACACGGAGGCCATGTTACAAGATGCATCATGATGCAGAATGGATGGTTAGAAATTTGTGTCTATTTACTCTTGTCCTAGGGGATCTTCATAATATTTGTGGGGTGATGATGATTTTAAGGGGTGGAACACCCATTTTGTTCTGGGGAGGTAAGGGGGGTCATTAATTTTGTACACGTGTGTGTGTGTGTGTGAGTGTGTGAGAGTGAGAGAGAGCAATTTTGTACATGACATGAAGTGTGTGTGTGTGTGTGTGTGTGTGTGTGTTGATTGACCACCTTTGTTGTTTTTTAAACACAATAGGGTATGGAATGGGCAATCAGGCTTGAACATTCTTGTGACATTGGTGAAACTACTGCTCATTGCTGTTCTGTGCTGTTTGAGCTCACGTGACTATGTCAGTAAGTCAAGTGAGCTTGCGTCATGGCCTGTTTGTCTGGCATCTCTTCCCTGTCCTCACAAACGCTAGTTTACACCAGTGATGACACCCCAGTTTCTTCTTGAGGTTACAATCTGGTTTTCAATATGGCCGCCATCACAGCAGTTGTGTATCGTCATTAAAAAATAACTGAATTGCAATTCTACAACAATTTCAGTGCTGTGGGCAGCCATTTGAAACACCTATTTGTCGCCATTACTTAAAAGTTTTTTTAGCAAAATGTAATGACGTTTGGTATTAGGTTACCAATGGGATTCAACACAATGTAGTTCCATTTTTCTCAATATTTTAAATGTTGTCTTTGTTGATAACATGCTGTTAAATTCTCCCAAAGTGCAGTAAACTATTTAACATCAGAAATTGCCAAATTGATGAAACGTTCTTGAAGCATGTATTTTTCTCCTTGCGATAACATATTTTGTTCACTTCAACTGTTGATTGTATACCCAGGTGAGCAAAACAGAGCATGGCACTATTTACACAAATATTTCACGTTCAGGGTGATGTGAATCTACAACACCATAGCCATATCAAAATATGACCTATCGTCCTTCTCCCCCAAACACACTTAAAAGCTATCAAACAGAATGAAAAGAAGGTATGATCTGTATTTTTTAAATACTTTCTTAAATTGTGTTGTATATGTCTACATATGTTATTAGCATATTTGCTATGTATATGAAATGTTGTTTGAACATGTTAAGCAATATGTTGGAAACTGTTTCTGCTGTTACCATGGTTACAGCGGGAATGTGAGAACATCAACACCTGCCAGTACCATGAGAGCACTTTGGTGCAAATTTTTTTGTTACAGTTAGAATAAACTCTATACAATAATCTGTGTGGTGTCCTTTTAATGATGGCGTGTGAAGTAGCGACCACAGAGGTGGTTGTGTGGATAGAGCAGAGCAGAAGGGGGTGTGGTTCGAATTCCCGGACTTGTCATACCAAAAGACCTTCAAAGAGAAACCTGTTACTTCTACTCTGACTTGTGGCACTTAGGGAAAAAACAAGGACAGTTGAGGCTTGGAGTACAGTGAGTAACTGAGTATGATTTAATGCCAATTTTAATAATATCACAGTGGGGACACCAAAAATGGGCTCATTGTACCCATGTTTGGAATCGAACCAAGATCTTTAGCATGACAAGCTGAACACTTCAACCACAAGGCTCCCCTACCACCCTTGACTCAGTATGATGTGTCTAAGTGAGGTATCATTGTTTAACTGTGGCATGGTATTTCCCACACATGCAAACACTGCTGTCCATTTTAGTGCAGTACTCTTGCAATATTACACATTTCACCTCATCTGGATTTGAAGGCTGCAAAATCTTAAGAAAATCTCATAAAAGGCAGTGTATGCCAGGGTTTTACACGACACACAAATATGCATCCAGTATGTAAAATGTAGAGAATGGACGCCAGAAAACATATCACTGCATCCAACAGGATGCACAATATTATTCATTGTACCCACAACACATCTATGACTTTGCTAAGTGTTTGGTTGTTTCTTTCAGAGCAGTTACATGTATCATTTCTTCCATCAGTCCACATGATCAATGATTCATTCCAGGCTCTAAAGATATTATCAAAACATACAGTTCTCTACACTGTTTCTTCACTGGACCCTCCTATTGCCCGCAAGGAATCACCATAACTAATAATTGGGGGTCCCTGGGACATCCATGTTTGTGAGTCGAGGTAAAATCCTGATATGCCCTTGTGCTGTGAATATACAATATTCCTGGCTCTCCTTGTGTTTTCACTGTAGTCTCCGTTTATACCACACAAATTATGACCAGTGAATACATAGAATTTTAACATGCACTTGCTCATGACAAATATGGTATCAATGTAAACAGTGATTATATTTACTAATTTTTTATCAGCTAAAATGAGCAATATCAGTCATACTCTGTACTTTTGCCAAAAATACATTATGACATATATTGTTTGAAACTTGAAAACGAAAAATGAGAGTAAGATGTACATGTATTTCAATAAAATTGTCTGTACCAGTCACATTTTCATTTTCAGTTTTTGTGCAAATGATTAAATTCTTATCTTTGGGGTATTAAACTGAATATTCACCACAGCAAACAATGCAAGAGTGAACCATGTAGTACATATTCAGAAATATAGGGTGAACCACAGATCAGTTACTGCTAGGTATACATTCACTCCATATTGGTAAGTATACGTATATGCTATTTATGCCATGCAAGCAGGCAGTATTGCACACCTGTGCAAGAAGGTATATTTCACACCTGTGCATGCAGCTTCATTTCATACCTGTGCAACCAGCTATATTTCACACCTGTGCAACCAGCTTTATTTCACACCTGTGCAACAAAACTTGATTTCATGCAGTGTGTCCAGCATCTCATTCATGTGCAACCAATATTACTAAATTTCAAGTCTCCACCAGTATTTGACACCAGTGCAACCAAATATACCTTTCAGGCAGTGTGTCCAGCGTCATGTTCAAGTGCAGCCAGCATTAATACATTTTAGGGCAGCCACGAGTATACGAGTTCAACTATAATGCTTTTTATGCAGTGTTTCTTGCATCCTTATATCTGTGAGCAGCTAGATTTGATTAAATTTCAGTGCAACCATCATTGTTTTACACAGGTGCAGGCTATCCTGATACTTACACCAGTGCAGTCACTTACAAAATCATGCCAGCATGTCCAGCATCACGTCCAAGTGAAACCAGTTTGATTACATTTCAGTGCAACAAGAATTATTTCATGACAGCCTGTCATACAAAAGTGAAGCAAAACATAATTTCATGATGGTATATACAGCCTACGATATAAGTACAATCAGCATTATTCACATTCAATGCAACCATTATCATTCACATCCAATGCATGCATCATTATTCACATTCAGTGCAACCAGTATTATTCACATTCAGTGCAACCAGCATTAGCCCATTCAGTTTAGCCAGCATTATTCATGTTCAGTGCAACCAGCATTATTCATGTACAGTGCAACCAGAATGAGCCCAGTTTAACCAGCATTATTCACATTGAGTGCAACCAGCATTATTCATGTCCAATGCAACCAGCATTAGCGGATTCAGTTTAACCAGCATTACTCATGTTAAGTGCAATCAATATTATTCATGACCAGTGCAACCAGCATTCGCCCATTCAGTTTAACAAGCATTATTCATGTCTAGTGCAACCAGCATTCGTTCATTCAGTTTAACCAGCATTATTCATGTTCAGTGCAACCAGCTTTATGCATGTCCAGTACAACCAGCATGAGCCCATCCAGTACAACCAGCCTTATTCACATTGAGAGCAAACCAGAATTATTCACATCCAGTGCAACAAACATTCACATTCAATGCAACCAGCATTATTCACATCAGTGCAACCAGCACAAGCCCATCCAGTACAACCAGCCTTATTCACATTGAGTGCAACCAGAATTATTCACATCCAGTGCAACAAACATTCACATTCAATGCAACCAGCATTATTCACATCAGTGCAACCAGCACAAGCCCATCCAGCCTTATTCACATTGAGTGCAACCAGAATTATTCACATCCAGTGCAACAAACATTCACATTCAATGCAACCAGCATTATTCACATCAGTGCAACCAGCACAAGCCCATCCAGTACAACCAGCCTTATTCACATTGAGTGCAACCAGAATTATTCACATCCAGTGCAACAAACATTCACATTCAATGCAACCGGCATTATTCACATTCAGTGCAACCAGCACAAGCCCATCCAGTACAACCAGCCTTATTCACATTGAGTGCAACCAGAATTATTCACATCCAGTGCAACAAACATTCACATTCAATGCAACCAGCATTATTCACATTCATTGCAACCAGGTATTTCACACCTGTGCTGCTAAACCATGATAATTTTATGACAGTGAGTCCAGTCATAAATTCTCAACAGCAGTTTGGTATTTGAAACTCAAACCAGTGGAGTCGATCTTGTATGTGAACCCAATGTTGCTGGTATACCCAGTGGAATGGATGGAGCCAACACTGTTTAATGTCGCAGTCACCACTCTGACTGGAATCCATATAAATTGCTCCTATGAAATCAATCTAAAAAAATTGCTGAAAAACTTTTTTTTTATTATACTGTAAAATATGAATCTGTATAATAACAATAAGAATATGACTGCTTGAATATACTGAAGCATATTTCAACATAATAAAAAGACAAATTGTATATTGTAACAATTGGCATACATCTGAAAGAACCTTGCAAATTATTTTATGAGGTTCTACTATTTGGTGAATTTGATATGCATGTATCAACATGGGGTAACTGGCCATCCTGTTAGAATACTGATGTTATCAAAGAATCAGTTACTCTGTTCTTTCATAATTTTAATCATGTTAAAAATAGTTATTATTCTATTTAACAAAAATGTTTAATGCAAAGAGGTCCTGTACTGTTCTGGGATGCAATCCAACAGACCCTTTTCTTCCAAAACCTTCCGGCTAAAAAGTTTGTTGTAGTATTTATGTCCAGTATCACACAGGCAGGTCACAATGGTATGCCCTGGGCCCATGAGTTCAGCTGCTTTGACAGCCCCTACAACATTCAGCCCTGTGGAGGCCCCAACAAAGAACCCTTCTTCATGCAGTAACCTGAATGTCATAGCAACAGCATCAGTGTCCAGTATTGCGAAGGCATCATCAATCGGGGCACCCTCGAGATTCTTCGTTACACGACCTTGACCTATGCCTTCTGTAATTGAACTTCCTTCAGTCCTCTCCAGCTTGCCATGCTTGATCCAGTTGTAAAGGACGCTGCCTTGGGGATCTGCAAGATAGGACTGTATCTTGTGATTCTTATCTTTCAGGAAGGTCGACACCCCTGCCAATGTTCCTCCTGTTCCCGTTCCGAAAACAACTGCGTCGACCCGACCTTTCGTCTCTTGCCAGATCTCAGGGCCTGTTGTTTCCATGTGGGCCCTTTTGTTGGCTGTGTTGTCAAACTGATTCGTCCAGACAGCGTTTTCTATACTCTCTGCAAACCTCCTTGCTTGGTGGTTATAGTTGTCCGGTTCGGTCCAGGCTACGACGGGGACGGCGCGGACTTCGGCACCTAAAGTTTTCAGTATTTCTATTTTCTCTTGCGACTGGTTATTTGGCATGTAGATGACACACTTATATCCAAGGGCCAGACACATGTGGGCAAGACCGATCCCAGTATTTCCAGCCGTTCCTTCAACCACTGTGCCCCCTGGCCGCAATAATCCTCTTTCCTCGGCATCCTTAATCAGGAAGAAGGCAGCCCGGTCTTTCACCGAACCACCTCCGTTACAAAATTCAGCCTTGGCAAGAATCTCGCATCCTGTCTCGTCGCTTAGTTTATTCAGACGGATTAACGGCGTTCGTCCCATCATGCCTGCCAATCCATTTCGTATCGAATCTGACGACACATGTCTGATGCATGCCTTCTTGGTCAGGCAAGCCCTCAGAACCCCTTGCCATGCCATGTTTGTTTATGGTCTGCTGTGAACATATGCTATATCCGTGAGCACTAGTTTCATTCAAAGGTCGAGCGATGCCGTGCCCAACTTGGTCCTATCGGAACCTCATGTTAGAAAATGCCACGTCACTGTTCGGTCTGCTTATGTATGCGAGATTAGGTTACATCCAAGAATCATCGGAGATAGTGGAGTATGTATCTGGGTCATTCATTCTGGGAGTGCTATTTCTCTACTTTCTCAAATACCTTCAGAGCAAGTTTACAATGTATTCGCGTCTAACCCAACATAACATACCAAATCTAACCAAAAAAGTACAATTAATTGGTTTGATAAGGGACCGTTCATAATTTATGGCTAGAGAAGCATTAGTCAGACCCTGAAGCAAATATATCCAAGAAACCCCTCACAAGTCTAGAAAATGTGCCAAGTCTAGATTTCCACAGCTTCTGAAAATGAGGACAGTCTCAGGGCTACTTTTACATTATATTTTGTTTTGTTACTATGAGCTTTTTCTGTAAAATATGATCATTTCAGAGACTAGTTGTTAGTCTAGAGAAGCATGTACAATGTGAATGACCCCCCTAAAATGTAGGTACAAAGTAAGTGACACCAAAGTAATTAAGTAAGATCAGGGAGACTATATAACGATAAAACGTAGTGTTATCCTTGGTAACATGTACTCTCATATTGAGATCCATCTTTTTATTATCTTCTTGGTGTGTGAAAGAGACGTTAAATACACACATGCATCTGAAATAGTGTAAGCGTACAAGTATTGTATGGAACGTGTGGAAACGGTGCCCAGCCGTCAAAGGCCGCGGAAGTCGCTGTCCATATAGCTGCTTCCTTCAGCCGGTTAGGGTTCGTGGGTTCGAATTCCGGTTCGCCCAGATAATGTACGGGTTTGTCAACACTATTCACTTGCTTTTGGATTTCACCAAACCTATAAACGTTTAAGAGGTGCAACCGACGCTCTCTATTATAACTGAAATACCTTTCAATCAGTGTTAGACCTTCCTCACTCATTCACACTCGACATGGAGTGAGTGAGTTTAGTTTTACGCCGCACTCAGCAATATTCCAGCTATATGGCGGCGGTCTGTAAATAATCGAGTCTGGACCAGACAATCCAGTGATCAACAGCAGGAGCATCGATCTGCGCAATTGGGAACCGATGACATGTGTCAACCAAGCCAGCGAGCCTGACCACCCGATCCCGATAGTCGCCTCTTACGACAAGCATAGGTTACTGAAGGTTCATTCTAACCCGGACCTTCACGGGTCACTCGATATGGAAGTTGGGTTCAACATTCATGGGCGGATCCAGGGGAGGGGTGTCAGGGGGTTCGAAAACACCCCCCACCAACACACCACCCCCGGGTACTAGAGGGATGGTGCCCACTAGGTCAGGGTGAAAAGCATTTAAAATAAACCCCAACTCATTCAGATGTACCACGACACTTGCTTGAGTTGGTCAAACGTCACCAAGTTGGCCAAAACGGTGTGGTTGTATTGAGGGAAGCAAAGTCTGGCCAATATGACACCATGGGTACATGTATTGTTTCGAGGTAATTTGGTTTTGAGGAGACAGGTATTGTTTGTCGTTATGAAATTTTATTTAGAGATATTTAAATGCATTTCGTTATTACACTTCTCTGTTTTGACATGCGTCTTTTAGCCTGTGTATGTATGAATAACGTAGGTTGTACAAGTGTTATTGTACAAATACGTCTTAGATGAATATTTATCCTTGAAAATTTAACAAAATATAAATTAAATACTCAAAAGCAGAGATAGTTTTTGTTGTCAATCGTTAGGGCAAAAATTCTTAGTTCAAATTATTATTTCTAGATTATATAAATAATAAGAATAATTTGTGTCTATGAAAGATATGCGTCCTTGCATTGTCTGCTTATCTGTTTGGGCAGAATTACTTCACATTCATTCAATACCAACCATTCGATATTTAAGGCATTTTCACATGGTTGTTTTAGTTATAACCATTTTCCGCCATGTGTTATATTTTTGTTTTAAAACATGAAAATCCATTATGGGATTTCGCTTTTAGAAGTTGCCTACAGGAAAGTAGTATTTGATTAATTTCGTATCTCCTTTTACAGAAGAGCGTTTAACATACGGAATAACTCGGTCTGTTCCGGCTGCCGCTCAATTATGGTTGAACGTTGTATCAGAAATGGTATTCCGATTGGTGTAAGAAATTGACCAATGAAATCATTAGTTTACAATCATGGCGACAAGTAGAGGCAGGTTTGAGTTGTTTCCAAGCAAGATATGATATGAAGGAATAAACCGACTTAGTTGTGAGTACACAAAGTGATCAATGTTTTCTCATTCATAGATAATGGCCTGTTATGGGTATCCATAGTTTTAAACTAACGACTTTGCGCCACGCGTGCTTGTCAGATTAGTGTTGGTGTTGCCGCGTCAAACATGCAATCGTACAGCAACAGCTCAACACTAGAAGCTGTCAGAAATATTATCCGTAAATTATCACGCATGGCGGCATTTCAAGAATGCTTACCCGTAGATCACTAAGAAGACTTCATGCCGAGCGTAAATCTCTATCATAATCCCGTTTAGTTAACAAAACAGGCACGTTTAGCAGCTGCTTATACACACCGTCCACATTCTTATATTCGGTAGGTTTTACCCTTGGAATTCGAATGACAGTTAGAGTAGCCTCGATTAACGCAAGTGTGCGTACTATTCAGTATTTTGCATGGACGTTTAGTTTGTGTAAACAGGTATGGCTCTCCACGAACAAGGTATGAGGTGTGAATTTATGTGCCAATTTGGCCATAGTGTTGTTTGTGAGGCTGTCAGACTTTCATTCATGGAATGTGTTATAATTTTCTACAATTAATCAAGGTTTATAACTATCTGAATACTTAGATGAGAACCACATACTCTGGTTGACAGTTTGTTTTATGGAATTCTGTAGAAAACTGTATGATTTCTCAAGATTTGGATAAAGCGAATAAAGAGCCAGAATTGTTTTGGTTTAAATTCTTTCTTCTTTGCTAAACTTTAAATAAATTTGATTGGCTGATCTGATATGAAGCCAGTGATCATGGAGATGATATTGATTATGTTCATGTTGCAAGGAACATCTGGAAAATGAACATGTGAGTGACTTATGTCTCACTCTAAAAATATGTATTCAGTTCCTGCTTTAGCCAAATATAACGTATGTTATACATTTGACCACTTTCTAAATGTCACTGTATATTCATAGCTTCAGCCAAGGGAGCCGAGTCTATTTACACTTGTCAGAGGGGTACTCAAAGTATGTGATCAATTTGTGGAAGCAGCAATGGCTGAGTGGTTTACATCACTGACTTTGTGTGCTGGCGATTAGGTGCCTTGCTCTGAGAGTGTTGGTTCGAATCCCAAATTGGACTCAACCTAACAATAGTACAAGAATCTGTACTTAACTGAGGAAGTGTAATCCCACATATAAGATATCTTTCTGCTTTAACAAGTGCAATCAACAGAAAATCTAGGAGGAAGTTGTATTGTAATGAAAATGAAAGCATGTTAGTAACAAGGAAGTTTAAAAAGTTTCACTAGCCTACTGATGATGAAAGTGTCTTAAAGCTGCAAAACATTTCACATACCTTTTTTAATTTAAATATTTTCTTCTCTTGTTGAAGGGCCAAAGGATACAGATTAGTGACTCAAATGATTTAGTTTCCACTGCTGATTTGATAGGATGCAGTATTCTTTTTGAGTCAAAGTCTTTTGGAAGCAGTGCGTTTCCAATATAAAATTAAATAAATGCTAAAAATTCCCAAATAGACATTTTCAAATAAATAGTTTGTTATAAATTCATGTATGAACAAAACTGTGGAAACAGAATAAAAACTGATAAACTTTCATTCATGTTTCAAAATGTACTTAAAATCTGTTTGCAGATGCTCACGGAAGATTCTCAACAAAACTTGGGAAAGATTCTATGATTTAGCCTTATCGTTACTCATAGTAGTTGCTTGTCTCCTCATTCTCTTGAAATGTAGTTGGAACTTCCTCTGCCAAAAGTTTGGATTTAGATGGGGTGGTTAGGATTGTACCACAGAATAAAATAATCCCAACAAGTATGTTGCACGAACATGGTGAAAGTGACTTGTCAACTAGCTTGGTTGCATGGTCCCAGTGGCAGGGATGAGAATTTTCCCCGGAATTCCGGGAATTTCATAAGGCCAAGGGTCATTTTGTGAATCGTCCAAATCCGATAGATGCTAAACCCCTGGCTAGTTTTCAGAGTTTTTCTCAAAAGGTCATTCTCATCCCTGCAGTGGGCCTGCATGGTGCAAGGATGTGTTTGGGTGAAGTTGTTTTTCTGTTCTTGAGGGACACAGCACAGTTGCCACTACAGACATTTTGACAGTATGAAGACATAACTAGTATAAGATAAGATAGTATGAGTCATGATAAGTTTAAAATAATACTTCCTCAATAAAATACATTTTTGTGTAGAATTGGGATATGTTTTACTGTTGATATTTTCTTCATCTCTGAGTTATTTTATGATTACATTTAATGCAATTATATAAAATGGAGCATTAATACCTGTTCATACTTATTGGCCAGTGAAAACAAGATACTTCTTCACACAGTTAAAGTTATTTATTAGTTATGTTTCAATACATGTAGCACAAATCAGGAATTTTTTATTTCCAGACTGAGAGTTTTACTGCTACTTTGGGACACATATCGGCCACCTAGCAATCTAGATAAATTCCTGTTTCGTTGCACTTTGTTTGTTAGTTTAAAGGGAGTGGTGTGTTAGCCCGGTGGTTAAAGTGTTCACTCATCACACTGAAGGCCTAGGTTCAATTCCCCACATAGGTACAATGTTTGAACCCATTTCTGGTGTCTCCTGCTGATATAGCTGGAATATTGCAAAAGCGGCATAAAACCCAACTCACTAACTCACTTGTAAGTAAAAGGTAATATGAGACATTTACATTTTCTACGAATAATTAGGAGACTGACAGTCAAGTATTTAATCAGTTACAGGTAGAGATGACAGTGAACACATACAGTGACTAATCTACTGCAATGATGGTGAAGTGAGGAGACAGAACAGCAGGCATGTCGAAGCCTGTTATCCCCCCGCTCGCCCCATCTTCCCCCTCGGGACAGACTATCGAGGTTCTGGAGCACCGACTCCAGGCTGCAGAACATGACACACGTGACCTCATCCACCGTCTCAACGAGATGGGTTTCAGTCGGGAAGTGTCCGCTGAAGCTCGGAACGAGGACGAAGGGCCCATGGAGCCATTCAAAGCCAGGTTAGCCGATGCTGAGCTGTTACATACAAATTATGAAGCACTTGTGTCCAGGGTGTGTCGGACAGAGAGTGCAATACAGACGCTGAAACTGTCCCTGCTCAATATTCAAGGTGATAAGGACTTGAAGAAGAAGATATATGCCCAGGTGGAAGAGAAGTGGTCAGCAGCCAAACAGACTTATGAAAGTCAGCTGTCGTACCTCAAGCGTGAGGTTCGTGGACTACCTCAAACTGCGTGAGGTTACTCAAGTGGACTACAGGATGAACTGACCTCGAACCACAGCAAGGAGGTACACATGAAGACTCTTCAAGGAGTATCATCATTAAGAAGCTGCAGAACATTGCTCTGGATGAAACAACCACAGCAAGGATTGTATGTACAATATGAAGTCTCTTCAAGTCTTAGTATCATCATACCACCATCCCCACATGGGCACAATATTGCTGAGTGTGTCCATAAAATTGAACTCACTAGTATCATCATGATTGATAGTAGTAGGTATTGGTTATAATATTTTGAGTTTCTTAGTTGAGTGTACAAAGTCAAACTAGAATTTGAAGTTACAGATTGCACATGTAATAGATGGTAGATGGCATAGAGCAGATCCAGAGGGAGGTGCAGGGATTTGTTCATTACAACCCAATTTTGGTTAAGACCATTGAAATTCTTCTGAAAATGGGTGAAAATGAACTGTTGTCTGGGCAATGATCACCTGTTTCCATGGTGACATTAATATATATGTTGTCTGGGCAGTTGTCATCTGTTACCTTGGTAACAGTATTGCAGGTGTTGTCTGGGCAAATGTCATCAGTTTCCATGGTGACAGTCATGCTGATGTTGTTGACAGGCTGAAGCTTCTGTGACAGCAGAGGAGTTTGCAACATCAAAACAGAAATTGATCCGGCGAGTTGCGGAGATGAAAGAGGAACTCAGCATGGAGTCAAGTCTCAGGTCAAGTCTGGAGGACTCCCATAACACTCTTCTGGGGAGGATCCGAGAGATGGAGTCAATTGTTGAATCTGAGAGGACAGAGGTAAGTGTTGTGTTCCTGCTACTAGTATATATAGCTACACAGTCTACATCTAATACACTATGCGGGACCAGGTCCCCCCAGGGGCTCATTCTTTTTCATAGAGATCGTCCTTGGGGTACATATATGCATTTTCTGCGGCTGAAAATGTCCTGTGACAGTTGTATCAATGTTTTGATAAAAATATTGTACAATAAATAAAATCTTTTTTATCTATTATACGGCCCCCACCACGTGGAGTTACCTCCCTGCTACGCAGGTAAGCACCTATCATCATTTTCTTTCTGCTGTCACTCAACCGTTCCAGATGTGTAGAGTTGCCATTGCTGAATATCTTGTTCTAAAGAGAATAATGTCTGAGACATCACCTGTATGTATGGTCTTTATTTGTCCTTGACGGAACAGTTTTATAAGACTTTTGTGGTTATTTCTCATATTTGTGACTTTGTATTAAATTTGTACGCTCGCTTCTCCGTGGTTTACGCACGTGTTGCTTTTCCATGGCGGGAAGTTTAGCATGCCACGTGGTTGTCATATTGCGTTATTAACCAAGTATTTCTTCCCGTGGTCGCATTCACGTAATTTTCAATGTTTTGTACATGTATATTTATGCGTCTGGCTCCGCTGTTAGCTACATGCTTGCGTGTTTGCTTTCAGGCGTTTAATGGATGTTCTGTCTGTGGGCAGAGCATCCCCCGAGCTGATAAGCATGACAAGTGCTTGTGTTGCCTTGAAAAAGTCGGCCATAATCCCGACATCTGCGAACTCTGCACGGCCTTCTTCCCCCGGGCCCAGAAACGGAGGGCCGCGGATCTTCTCTTCTATAAAGAGTTGCGAGAGGCGGGAGGGGAACTGACCCAGGAGGTCCCCCCCCGTCTAAAGCAAAGAAATGTCTAAACCGGCCAAAAAAGCTAAGTCGTCTAAGGCGCCTCCTCAATCACACAGTGGTTTTGACATGTCTTTCATTACGCAACTTTTCCAGCAGCATATGGAGTCAGTGAAGTCCCTTATTCATGAGTCCGTTGGAGGTCTCCTTCAAGAGTTCCTTGCCCACTCTTAGCAGGGGACGGAGAGTCCGTGGGTGGGATCGCCGAGCCCGGCTCGATCCCTTAGCCTGGAGGCGTCTGTCGATCCGTTGCCTCTGGCTTCGGGTCCGGACACCTTGGCGGAGGGGGAGGGTTCGCTCCCAGTCCCCCTTTCGGTGTTGGCGCAGGGTCCGTTGAGGATTCCTGGGGTTCCGTTCCCTGCACCGCCCCGCCCCATGAGAGCGGAGGAGCCAGTTCTTCCCGGTCTTCCTCCCGTGTCTCGGGACCGGGGTTCGAGTGTGGTGTCGGGTGCCGGAGCGGGGAGTTCCTTCGGCTCTTCCCTTCCCTCTGTGTCTGGTGCTCGGCCTCCCACCGGGTCGGGGTTCGGATCCTCTTCGCCAGGAGTCCCGGATTCTGAGTGCCGAGTCTATGGACGTTGAGGAGGTCGGGGAGCCGGAGGGCACTTTCCGTTTCTCGATGGCTCTCCAGGAGGTGCGGCAACGTAATGCTGAGTTCATTCCCCAGGCCGCAGTGCCCACCAGTCACTGGAACTCATCTGAGTTCCGCCTGCTGGGCGAGGCGTTTGCCCCTAGGCAACCCTCGTAGACACTGCTCCGCATCTTGCCGTCCCTTGTGCAGGACATGATGGATCCCCTCCTGGTTGGGACACGCCTCCGGTTCGACTTGCCCGAACTCGTCAAGAGGTACCAGCTGGGGGACGATTCGCTTTTCTTTGTACCGGTGGTTGACAAGTGTGTGTTCACTTCGGTCGCCCTAGGGGGTGGCTCGGCTTCCTCTGGTGCAGCCCTGGTTGCCAAGCAAGGGCGTTTAGTGCCGCCGTTTGCCCTTGCGGGCGCCCCCCTGCAGCAGGCTTACTGTACTTATGAGGAAGTCTATCGGAATGCCATGCAGCAGGTGCGGGTGGTGATCCACGAGGCCTACCTTTCCTCTATTCAGAGGTCGGCCCTGGAGGCTGAAGGGAACACTGGGGACGTGTCCCCGCATGTTGTTCTGCTTCGCCGGTTATCCGAAGTACAGGCCCACCTAGCGCGCGACTCCTTGCGGTTCGCGGTGTCTACGGTGATGTGCTCAGTCATGGGGATGCGCAAGCTGTGTCTGTCAACTTCTTGCTACTCGGCAGCAACACAGCAGACCTTGCTCGGCCTTCCGTTCCGTCTGGGAGCGACGTTGTTTCCTGGGGCTCAGCAGGTCATTCCGGAGGCTGCCGCTGCAGCTACCTCCTTCAAGGACTCTAAGGCCTTGTTGGAGCACCCGCGGGCTTCTCGCCCCGCGCTCCTGTCACGGTTTCCTCCTCCGGGGTGCAGCCTACACCCGAGTCTGCCGGCTGGCTTAGGCCGCTGAGCAGGGGCAGGCGGAGGAGCCGTCCTGCCTAAGGTAAGGGCAAGGAGCAGTCCTCTTCGTCTGGCTCCCAGCCTTTTCGCGGGCGCAGGAGGTCTGCCCCGACCTCCCGTTAACCCAACAGGCTGTCGCCATGGGTCCGTCCCAGTCAGTTTGTCTGCACGGGACCACTCACGCTCTCTTACCACACATCCCAGTGGTTTGCCGCCTCTCTCTATTGCTACCGGACAGGGAGAAGGCTACCAGCAACACTTGGGTGCTTTCCACCGTCAGTGTTGGCCATCTACCACTGTGGAAGCGAGGCCTGCCTGATTTCACCGGAATACGTCGCACTCCGGTGCCGTCATGTCCGGTCAGGGCAGGTGTACTGCAGGACGAAGATCAGGCATTGCTGGACAAGTCCGCAATAGAGCGCATACCACCGGGCGAGGAACAGGTGGGAGTTTATTCCACGTACTTCCTCGTCCCGAAGAAAGACGGCGGGTTCCGTCCCATTCTCAACCTCAAGGGGTTCAATCGCATGCTAGAGGTTCCATCCTTCAAGATGGAGACACTTCGCTCGGTGATCTCCTCTGTTCAGCCCAGCGTGCCCATTCATCCATCATTCGAGCAGTACCTCCGGTTCTCTTACGACGGGATGAATTACCAATTCACGGTGCTCCCCTTCGGCATATCCACCGCCCCCAGGGTGTTCACCAAGCTCATGTTAGTGCCAGCTACCCTCGCTCGATTGCAAGGAAGGCGTTGTTACCCTTACCTCGACAACTGGTTGCTCAGCGTGCTAACTCAGCCAGCGCGCCTAGATTCTACTCACACGGTGATAGACATTCTAGTTCGACTGGAGTGGATCATAAACCTCAAGAAATCCGACCTGGTACCCACCCAGGACTTGGTTTTTCTCGGGACGCGGTTCCAAACTCACAAGGATCTTGTCTCCTTGTCGCCCGACCGGGTCACCAGAGTACGGGAGATGGTGTCTTCGTTCCTCTCCCAGCCCCAGGCACCAGCGTGTACTGGGCCATATGGCGGCGACTATCTTTGTAGTGTGGCGGGCGCGGTTGAGGATGCGCCCTATGCAGCAAGCTTTGGCGAGTCTGTGGGCTCACTCGGAGGATCTGGAGCAGAGTCTCACAGTCCCCGGGTGGTTGCCTCCTCACCTTCATTGGTGGACCAATGTTGGGAATCACTCCAAGGGGATCCCTTTGGAAATCCGACGCCAGCTCTTACAGTTCAAACCGATGCGTCCCTCAGGGGCTGGGGGTGTGTTCTGGGCAGTCTGTCGGTGTCCGGACTCTGGTCCGAAGCCGAAGCCCGCCTTCACATCAACATCTTGGAACTGAGAGCTGTGCGGTTGGTTTTCAAGCGCTTCCGAGAGCATGTTCAGGTCCAGGTGGTTCGTCTTCAGTTGGACAACCGTACGGCAATGACGTACATCCTGAAGCAAGGCGGAACGGTGTCCCTAGCGCTCGTTCGGGAGACGTGGGAATTTCTCCTCGGGTGCGACCAGTGCGACTGTCAGGTGCTTCCTGTTTATCTCCCGGGGCTGGAGAACATGCGAGCAGACACTCTCTTTCAGCGGATCTTGGCCCCGCACGACTGGATGCTCGACCGGCAGATATTCGGAGTTGTATCTCCCAGTTGTACGATCGTTCCAGTTGGATCTGTTTGCGTCCAGCGGGACGAATCAGATACCCGTGTTCTGCTCGAATACCCGGACCAGAGGCATTGGCTTCCCGGGTCCTCCTCCCAGCTGTCCGCCAGCCGGCATTTCGGCTACTTGTGCTACTGGCCACTATGGCGTCACCACAGAGCTGGTTTCGGTAATTTCTCAGGTTTCTGGCTCAGCCTCCTGTTGTATTACCTTTGTGACGGACATTCTCACTCAGAGCGGCGCATACCCCAATCCAAGGATTCAGCTGGTGGCTTGGCCTCTGTCAGGTCTAGCCTCGAAGCATCGCGAATTCCTGCAGTAGTTGCAGACACAATTCTGGCTTCGAGGCGGGATTCGACAAACGTTCAGTATGAGGATAGGTGGTCCCGCTATGCGCGCTGGTGTTCAGATAAGGGGTTTGCAGATCCCTTTTCTGCGGATTTAGTCCGAGTATTGGAGTTTTTGCAAGCTCGTTTGGAAGAAGGCCTGGCGGCTTCGACCATTCGTGGCTACTCCACCGCTATTTCCACTTTTCACACCCCTATCGATGGTGCGCTTCTGGGGCAGACTCTCCCATGCAGCGCTTTTTAGCTGGCGTGGATCGGGTTCGACCTGCTGTCAGGCGAACCAGCCAACCTTGGGATTTGTCAATTGTGCTAGATTGGCTGTCCGGTCCTACGTTCTCACGTCTATCGGCTATTTCCATTCAGTTGTTAACATGGAAGGCTGTATTTCTGGTGGCGGTAACATCTGGGCGTAGGGTCGGCGACTTACATGCTATGTCGGCAGACCCGGCGCTGACTGTGTTCCATCCTGATCGTGTCAGTATTCGCCTCCTGGATACTTACCGTCCAAAGGTCGATCACGCTTTCCATGTGACAGCTCATATCAAACTTACTACTCTTACCCAGCCTTCCACATCGTGGACCTCTCCAACGAGCACTCACCCGTTGGATGTCCGAAAGACT